CCACACCTGCCTCTCTGAAACTCAGGACCACGAGTTCCCAGGACTTCAGTTCTGGTCTGCCTAGGAACTGATGAAAGGAGAGGAAGCTTGAAGAAGTAGAGAACAGTTGTCAGGCAGCTCTCATCACATCCATTGACCGTTTATGAAAAAAAAAAATCAAGATTTTTTCATTATATAGCAAGTTTATATGCCCAGATGGCTCAGACCTGAACCAGGGAAGCAGATAAGCGCTGGAGTCTAAGTGCATGTGATGGAATCTGCAGTGACCTGGAAAACAGGTGTCCTGTCCAGAGGAAATGTCTACAGCTGCTGCTTGTCAAGTAGAAAGTCAGAAGGTGGCTTAGTTCTAACCTACATTTTTCAAGCAAACTGGAAATCTGGAGTTTGATGTGAACATTTGCTTTTTGCAGATTTTGTCCGGGGCTGGGTTTGAACCTGCCACCTCCAGCATATGGGGTCATCAACCTACTCCTTTGAGCCACAGGCACCACCCTGAACATTCGGTTTTTCAATATGCTGACTCAAGCTTTGACAAAATCCTGTGAGAGACACCTCAATACCTATCTGCTGCCTGCAACCCAGGAGCTACTAGTTTGTGTTTCCTTTAAAAAAGTTTGCCCTGAATGAAATATTGGCTGCTTTCTGACATAATTCCTACTGTGAATTTCGATTTACAATCAAAGAAGGAAATTTTCTCTTTAAAGAAAATGAGGTTGTGAGAAACAGAGGTGTTTCAAGCTTTTACTTGATGTAACTTTATTAAAAGCAGTCATAGTATATATGTATTATGTTGAAAAAGCACCTTCTCTCCTACTTGTAGCTCTCAAAAGAGACAATGGGTGGGGTATGGTGACTCACACTGTAAAAATCCAGCCCTTTGGGAGGCCAAGGGAGGAGGATTGCTTGAGGCCAAGAGTTTGAGACCAGCCTGGGCAATGTAGCAAGTTTTCTTCTTTAAAAAAATAAAGTGTGTGTAGTGGCAGGTGCCTGTAGTTCCAGCTACTAGGGAGGCAAAGTAGGAGGATCACTTAAGCCTAGGAGTTTGAGGTTATGGTGAGCTGTGATTGGGCCACTGTACTCTAGCCTGGGTGACAGAGGAAGCCCTTGTCTCTTAACAAGAACAATACAATGTATGGGAAACGGCTCAGACCCCCTAGAGAGGCACATGCTATTGTAATGATGATAGTAACACCCCAGCTGTATGTTTTACTTGTGACTTAAAGAGGACAAAGCAGGAAACCTTGATAAACAGTAAACCTTCTTGGTGCTAAAACAATTAGGAGGCCAAGTTTAAATCATCTGTCTGCCCCTCTGGGAAGTTATCTATGGACAGGGCTTCTGAAGATCCAGAAAAAGTGAGATTTAACTGTTGGAAAGTCTTTGTTTGAAAAAGTAAAATTTGGCCTTCTCTACACT